TGATGACACGGTTATTTTCTATTCTGCTTTTTAAGGTTATTATTATTATTTTTTCTTGATTATTGTGTGTACATTTTTACAAATAAACAAATTATTATTATTATTATTATTATTATTATTATTATTATTATATTGGAAGTTTAAAAATAGTCCACCTTTGGCTGAACCCTGTGTATCTTTAAAGCAGTTTTAAAATAAAATTGATTCTTACGATATTCTTCCTATATACCAATTCAAGTTTTTCTCCTTATTGTTCAAGGCAACAACCTTATTCCCTGAGTTTACTTCTTCCCCTAAAATTAATAATATAATTATAAAATCGGTAGTGGGAACGCTAGATACAGTTAACATATTTTGAAAATATATTTTAGGTATTCCTACCTTTTCTGGTTTGACAAAATTTCTGATGAAATAATGCTGAACATCTAAATGCTTTGTCCGAGAGTGGTAAACAGGATTTTTGAACAAATATATAGGCACCGTTGTTGTCGCAATAGATAGGCACTATAAAGTTTTGATATATTTTTAATTCCTCTACCATCTTTAGCCACAATGCTTCTTGGACAGCTCCGGAGAGGGCCATATACTCCGCTTCTGTCGTTGACCGTGCAACTGTAACTTTTTTTTACTTGACCAACAGATAGGTCCATTTGCCATATATATTTATGCGGATGTGAATTTTCTATCTTCTAAATATTCTGCAAAATTTGAATCTGCATATCCGGTGATCTATTTAGGAACATTACTAGTGTTCTTGTACTACTTTGATAGCAAATGTACCACGTATGTACCTCATCATTTTTTTTATTGGCATCCAATGTTTTTTTGTTGGGTTATAGTTAAATTTGCTTAATACTTCAACTGAATAAGAAATATCCGGCCTTGTAAAGTATGCAGCATAGAGAAGACTTTCGATTATTATTTGATAATTATAACTGTTCTCCATTGCCTTTGTCGAGTCTTTTTCATTAAATATTTTTAATTTCTTTCCACATTCCATAGAAATTTTTACTGGATTACAGTCAGTACACTTAAAAATTTTTTTCTGAACCCAAATATATCATTTCTTATCTCTATTTGCAAACTTTTTAAAAATTCTTTCAGTTTATTACTGTTTGAGAATAAATGTGAACTACCGAAATGACAACTTCCCCTGTCAAACAGTGATACATAACAATGATCGTGAAGAACGGAAGGATATACAGCATATTTTTTTTTAATTGTCAGAATAATATTTATAAATATTTAGAGCGTTTAGACATCCCAAAAAATTTTAAAGTTCCTGTTACCGTTTTTGATATATTGTTTAAGCTTCTGTCTTTCGGTAATGTTAAAAAATGTCTAAAATTAAGCTGTAAAATATTGTAATTATTTACCTGTTGTTACCAAATGGCTGTATCATCCTAGCTTAATTAAAAAAAAAACAATGATCAAATTACCCTTGTTTAAAGCAAAGTTCTTTGAAGCATTTGTCCAATTTTATGTTTCACAAACGACTAGACTGTTTCAGTCCACACAGAGCTTTGCTTAATCTAAATCTTGATTTTTGTCTTCAAATATATTGGGTTTTTTCTTATAAATTTCTTCATTTTCTAGTTCTGGCTGTAAAAATGCAGCTACAGCAAGCATTTGGTTTATGTCCTAGTCATGAATTGTTGCTGCACTAAAAATCTTAATGAAAAAGTTTATTTGGCGGCACAAAACACATTTACGTGCAATCAAGTTAGGTCTTTTTGGTAAATCTACAAGGTCTCATGTTTTGTGTTTGATTAGTAAGTCGAATTTCTCTTTCATTGTCTTTTTCCAATTTTGTGAATCTTCTTGTGATAATGCGATAATGTGATAATGTGATAATCTTTGGATCTTCATCACCTTAGACAGCTTAAGCTGCACATAAAACGTAATCATTTAATTTGTCTGACATTTTATATTTTTACATTTTCTGAAAGAGTTTGATTATTTTTATTACTATCAGTTTCAGTTAAATTTTTCATGTTCTACATCTAAACTTTGTAGTTTGAAAAATTATAAGAGATTCTTTTTTGTATCCTTACCACACACAAAGAGCTCAGGCATTTCTTCCAAGAGATTTTGTACACAATTTTGTAGATGGTATTTTCAAAATTCTCATTTTGATTGGAAAAGCTTCTTCCAGAATTACAGCAATTAGTTTCCATAATAATCATATCTAGACCCAAGAAAATCCTCATGCTATTACAGAGATGCATTTTCAGGAACAATGTTCTATTAACGTTTGGATCGGTACCATAGGTAACTATTTGAATGGACCATAGTTTTTACCAGTATTACATTCATTTTTTACAAAATGATTTACTTCTTTAAAATGTTGCTCTTCAGTTTGGGCAACAATAGTGGTTCATGCATAATGGTGCACTTTAGCATATTGGCTTGTGAACATTTGAATGGAGCTTATTAAAATCGTTGGATATATCGTGGAATACCAAAATTCTGGCCACCTAGATCGCCCGACTTGAACAGCCTAGATTTTATTTATGGAAGCACCTAAAATAATTAGTTTATATTACACTAATCGAAACAGGAGAACAACTACTGAGGAATAGAATTGTTGACGGATGAAACTATTCGTAACACCCATGGAATTTTTGAAAAAGTTCGTCAGTCGATGAGTTGAAGAGCAGATGCTTGCAAAGAAGCGGGAGGTGATCATTTCCAACATTTGTTGTGAATATTCTGTTAAACTGTTATTATTTTTGTTTGGTAGACTTTAAAAAATGGCGTATAAATAAATATTGTGCACCAAATAAAGTTAACTTGATTTCATTTTAACAATGTTTCGACATGCAATAAAGTGGTTTTTATTTTTTTCCTCAAAAACGAAGTAGGAAACAAAAAAATATTAGCAGACAAAAAGGTTGTTTTTTAGCTCGTTAATCCGAAAAAATATAAAAAAAAGTCAGTAGCGTATATTTTTTGGTCAATATTATTTGTGAGACAGCCATCGCGATGCCACTGGAATAACTCATAATTATCACCCAGTCAGTGTTAACTAAGCGTCTTCTCACAATAAAGAAAACTGCCTAAAAACTTTGATACCCTGTATCTTTCTGTTTATATAAACTTTTCTACTTAAACTTGATTTAGAAATGCACCCTTGGAATTACGGCCTATCATTATGTAACATCCTGTATATTTAAAAAAATAATATTGTTCTTATAAAAATTTTAACTGGTCTAATTTTAGTTAAACTATTTTCTCAATGCTGTCAGTAGTAGACTGAGAACTCAATTGCGAAAAATTAGATGTTACCTTCCTAGCTTTCAAACAACCATAATTTTCTACAAAATTACACATTCCCACGTCGTGCTATACCCTGTATATGCTAAATAGTGCAACGAATTAATAATTACCAATCAAAACGCATCATTACTGAAGTTTGCATGATAAATTGAACTTGTTAGTGCATATCAATTTTATACTAAACACGACAAACCATTTACTATATTTACAGACGCACTGGTTTACTTTTTTTAAAGGCCAAGTTCTAGGATTTATTTATATCTACGTAATTATTTTGGTTTCTCTTTTTGTCACTGGAAAGAATTTGAATACTTACCGCAATTTCATTAATTTTAATATATTTCTTATAGTTTGTAACTAAAATATTGTTAAAATAGTTATAATAGAGCATTATTAGAGTTATGGACTAAGATTATCCTTTAGCTATTCGACAATTGTATTTTTTGACTATTGTACTCTCAAGAGATTATCATTAGTCAGATATTATGTCATCCTTAATAATTGTTTATTATCCACTGCTTTGTTTTTGCTCTTTGAAGCTCTTTATAAGAGTACTGTATAAGTTAAATTTGGTCAATTGTCAATTGGTACCAACAAGTAGTTCAATACAAATTTTGAAGAGATATTTGTTCAAATTTGAATCCAAAATAATGGACATGGTAAAAACAGCCATTCAAAGAAGAGATTTGGATTGTTTACTATAAAAATTGTGCTTGTTTGAGAAAAATTTCGTTGAAACAAACTCTAGAGAAAAATTATGTAAGTTTCGAAAGGCAAACATTCAAAAAGTCTCTGGAGATGAGATTACAAGGAATCTAAATGTTCCGAAAATTCTAAACAAAATATAAACGCTAATTATCAAGAGCGTGTATAATGAAAGACATTGAAATATAATTTGAAAAGAGATTATACAAATTATGGAGTATTAATAATATCTGAACATAATTTTAGGAAACATAAATGATATAAGACATTAAAACTATCTCTGAAGTCGAATTGAAATAGTTATTGGAGAATTAGAAGGACGACTTCATGTTGGTAGATGTTAAAATAATTTTTGTATATGAAGAAACTACTTTTATATTTATTACCTTTTAGTAATAATATTTTTCTCTTTAATTAGTCACCATAGACATGTGCCTCTGCATTTTGGAGTAATTGTTAAAAGAGGGTGTATACTGGCTCTTCTCGAATGTTTATATGGTGGTGGTAGATTCAAGAAAACTTCTAGGGCTAATTGGAGTAATATAAAATTATTATAAATTTAAAAACTTAGAATAAAACTAAAACTACTAATAGTAATTATGAATATTATCAAAAGTTTGACAAATGTTCTATGTTGCATTTAAGAAAATGTAGTAAACTTTATCAATACCTAAACTAAAAATAAAACAAAATATTAAAATTTTATACTTACTAATACCTACTCCTCGTGCTAAAAAAAAAATATAATTGAACAGTGCTAAATTTTGTAGAAGTAGTAGAAGTTAATTTTGTTAAAAAGTGATGTTTGTATGATAAATAATTAACATTGGTCTTAATAATAAAACGTACTTTAAAAAGATAAATTAAAAACAACAAAAAATTATTCATATCTAGTCTTAAAAAAAAACTTCTATCTCCAGCAAAATTCAAGCACCATCCTGAAAAACGACTGGATCAAATAAAACAAAAACATTATTAAATAATCTATAATTAAAGTAAATAAGTCTTAAAAAATGAGCCTTTCGAAGAAAATAAATTAAAATAAATAATCTTTGAATTATAAAAAGAAAAATATTCAACTCTTTGGAGCGTACGCTGCATACGCTAGATTCTGCGCCTCATCTTTAGCTTCCTTAGCGTATGACCTACCCCATCCCGAATGACCAGCACTGTATACCTCAACGTGACCCGCATCGTGTCCACTACTTCCACCAGACAGCAATTTCTTCAAACCAATGATACCAGCAAGGACTAGAGCCAATTTTGAAACGATCAAAGCTTTTCCAGCTAATAGAGCTAGAGCTCCTAGCGCCAACGGGATCAGGGTACCTCCCAAAATGAGGGGAAGAAGGAGGAGACCACCACCACCGCCTTTCTTCTTTTTACGAGCTTCTTCCAGAGATCTTGGAGCATCTGAAGAGCTTGGAAGCTTAATCTAGAAAGAATAGAATTATATTACAAACAAATTAAGAATATAAAATTAGAAAACGCTTAATGTGTGAATAAATTAAAAATGCTGTACCTGGAGGGTGTGTGATCCTAGGAAACTTGAAACCCTGTCAGTGATGATGTTATCCAAAGCAGTTTCTTTATCTTCCAACGATCTGGGAAGCGTTGCTTCAATTTCGGCTTCAGTTTTAACTTCTGCGGCTGGAACTGCGGCTTGGGGATCTTTCACGAATTTAATTCCTTCGAATAGGGGTAGTTCGGAGTACGACCTGGCGGCTCGATCCAAAGCGGCAACCAATTTAAGTTTTAAACAAGATATCGTATCGGTCGAAGCACATTCTTGATACACTTTGTACATATACCGTAAATCACTAACGTAAGAATTCGAATTCCCATCACTCCTGGGTGCATCGTGCAGCGAGTTCTGCTGCGGCGAAGTACCGGTGGTACGGCCGAGTACCACATGGGCGACGAAAAGAAGAGCGATACACTTCGAAATCATGGTGGCGCGCTTGACTTGAAAAACTGATACAAATTCACTTACACTAGTTTACTTTTATAGGTAAGGTTCGTTCGTTCCCACTGATGCAATGGATTTTGGTTAACCCCTCTTATTGGTTTTGGTCAACAAAGCGTGGTCCCTGCCCTCTATCTCGATAGATCTTCGTGTGTGGATCTGTGAGCGGTGGCCAGGGACGGTTAAAGGCGTTGGTCAATATTTTTCTTTTTAAATTAAATTAAGTAATTAAAAAAATATATATTTTCTGATATAAATAAATAAGTAAATATTAATACTCAATAAATGACAATAATTATTTTCTTAATAAATATAAAAAGAAAAAATAATGCGTATGTATATGTAAGATACAACACAATCGAAATACTAACATATAACCAAACTAACAGATATCAAAACGTTCATATACAAAAGTTACAAAAATTAATAAAAAATATTTATAGAAACGTCTATTAATTAATTATTTTTTTTTCTAATACATAGCAAAAATTTAAAATTTTTCGTCAGTGACACCCATTACCACCATAAAGGTTAAGCATGGGTTACACAGATGACATAAAAATAATATACATAATATTTAGGTATCTTCTAAGCCCACACTGTCCAGTAAAGGATCCTATTATGGCCTTTAGTTTGATCCCGCTCAGCAGTGGTGGCTTGTGATAATTCAAAAAGGGTGTTCACTTTTTCAAATAATTTTATCGTTTGTAAGTTTAGTTCAGAACTTTGTACAAACGAAAATTTCACTATTTTTTTTTATTTGGTTTTATATTAAGTGTAGTTATTATTGTCAATATCATACTGTTTGAAAGCACTACAATATTTATGAATATTTTGGTTACTGTAATATTTGTTTTGTTTTTAATACGTTGAAAACCATTTATAAACATTATTAGTTATAGGCAAATGACTTTTCTTCATATTTTGAGATTATTTTTAAATACAGGGTACCAATAAAAACTCCTAGGCCGGATATTTTGATAAGTAATAGAGGTATTTTAATTCTGTAAAAGTCAGTTCATAGAGCGCTAAGAGAGCCTCAGTTTTAGATATAAATTAATTTCACATAGGTCAATATGTAGATGGCGCTGTACTCAATATTTTTTTTTTTTCGATGTGAGGATCTTTCTTATATAGCGGCATCTTGTAAAAAAATGCATTTTAACCCTTTAATGTTGGTGGTTCATGGACATAGTTCTTAAGGTATAAAATTGCCTTTACAGTCACGCAATTTTGAGCCTAAGTGAAAGCTAATACTTCACAAACGCTCAGTGGCTATGCTCGAGACCACTGGCCGCCCTGGTTATATAGGTAACAAATATTTCACCTATAAGTGGTCTTTACCTTAAAAGAAACATTTGTTGCACTTTTTAAGAGGTTTTTTCTTGACTTCATTAAAAAAAAATAATAAAATATGTGAATTGTGTCATTTAGTATACTTTGTGACCGGTAAGTTATATAATTTGGAAGTATAATTAGTGTTAATTTTAACCGGTAAATGAAAAAATATACTGGTTTGAATTGTAACCTAAAAAATATTGTTTTTTGAATAATGTTTTTATTGAAATAAAATGATATTGGAAGAGTTCTAACATGCAAATATACCACCTAAGATATTAGTTTTACATATAATAATATAATTTTTGCTCTGAATTTTACCGCTAATTTTTAGTCCTGCTGTTTATAATCATTTTCTTTTCAGAGCAAAATGAGTAAAAAAAATGGTCTTACAAGCAGTTAGAAAGCATTAGATATGGGAAATTCAACAAATTGTTTGCACTTGATGATAGTCAAGCTGAAGACTCTAATAAAAAGAAATAAAATTTAAAAAATTGATTACTGTTGAAAATAGTATCCAAAAAGTAGATGTTGAAAATCACCTTCTAGTGCAAGATACAAAACGTAGGAGTACTTATTGAAGTACAAAAAAATCTGATGTGTCCAATACATGACTTTCCTATCTAGTTATTATAGTAGCACCCCTATAAATGTTTAGAGGATAAACTGAATATATACATTTTCCACATACATCTAACTCGACATATTTTTCTATATTATATATTCAATAAAATATAAAAACGGCCTCCCATAAAATACCCCCCCCCCAGATGTTCCGCCTTCGTTCAAAAGCTAATCATTTCACCTCAGGCCGAAATGAAACTTAAGTTTAAAATTTAATGTTTTTTCCTTTATCCATTTTTAAGTTTTCTTCAAAATTCGTAATTTACACATTTTCTCAAATATCTCGAATACGGTCCATTTTAAAGAAATTATGTATAGGATAAAGATTATAGAGAATTATATTACACACAACTTTTATTTAAACAATTTTTATAAAAAAATGAATTTTTTACATTTTGTCAAATTTCTCGAATACGGACCATTTTAGGAAAATTTTATAAAAAACACAAATTATAGATAATAATATTGTAAGACCCTTTTATTTGAAGAATTTTCTTTTCCAAATGTAAATAACGAATATATTCCATAACATATAAAAATGACCACCAATAAAGTACTCCCCCAGAGGTTCCGATTCTGTCTAAAATCTAATTATTTCATTAGACGCTGGAATGAAGCTTAAGTTTAAAATTGGGTGTTTTTCTGTTAATCGGTTCATGAGTTATGCGACATAAAGACACACACACACACACACACACACACACACAACACACACACACATACACACACACAACACACACAACACACACACACACACAACACACACACAACACACACACAACACACACACATACACACACACACACACACACACACACACGCACACACACGCACGCACACGCACACACGCACACACACACACACACACACACACACACACACACACACACACACACACACACACAGAAATCATCCCGAAAATAGTTAAAACGGATTCAGGGGATCCCAAAACGTAAAAATCCGTCGAAAACCGGAGGTCGAAAAAAATCATGATTCCTATACTTTCCTTATATCTGTATACAGATAGGAAATTAAAAAAGTTAAACGTACCAAACTTGCTTGCTCTGAATGTAATGTAGGTTATTGCATTTTATGTTTTCAGCCGTTTCATAAAAAGTAAATTATAATATATTTTGTGTTTTCTTTGTTTAAAATTAGTGTTTATTGTTTATTAAATAAAATTTGGAAATATAAATAGTGGTTCCTATTGAGACCACCGAAATATAATAGTTTTTTTGTCATCTTAAAAAAGCAGTGGTCCTAATAAGTACCACCCCCTAGAGAAACAATTTTGAAAAAAATTTGCAAAACAACCGATATAAACGGTTTTTTATTAAATTAAAACAAAAAAATGGTAACAAAAAAAAAGTTTTGCGACTTAAAGGGCAGATTTTGTTCTATAAATTAATTCGATAAATCTAGCCATTTTTGATATACAATGTGGGTCACTCAAAACAGTTTCATCCTGTTTTTGGACATTAATCATGGGATTTTAAAAAAATGCTAAAATTGGTCGATTTTTGTTCCAAATTAAACACATTTTTACAATAAATACAACTGTCATGTGTCAACCCCCTCCCTTCCACTTCTCCAATCCATTAATTTTAAATAAGAAATTTACCATTTACGGCACATCATTGAAAAGGTAATTTTATGGGGAAGTCACAAATATGACTGTTTATTGCAATACTTTTAATTTTAGCGCCCTCTATCGGAATAAAAAACCTGTAACGTATTATAAAGTGTGACACTTCATTTGAAAGCTAATTTAATTGCTAATTCAATGTACCACATAACATTAATATAAATATTTAAATATTGTACTTGCAATAATGTTTAAAATAATGCATGAGTAATTTTCAAACTAAGGCAAGTGTAATATGGAGGATAATTATAATAATATTTTGTGGCGCATTGAATTAGTAATTAAATTTGCTTTCAAATAAGGTGACACACGTTATAATACGTAGTTTTTTATCCCGATAGAGGGCAGTAACATTAAAAGTATCCCAATGAATAGTCATATTTTTAAATGCCCCTCAAAATTACCTTTTTATTGACGTACTACACATTGTAGTATCATAGTAATAGTTTTTTATCTCACTAGAGGGCGATAAAATTTAAGTAAAGCAATGTACAGAAATTAAAATATCTCTATTACTTACCAAAATATCCGGCCTTGGAGATTTTAATGGTACACCCTGTATATGTCAAGTCATGTACAAAGCTTGACATTGATTTTTGTGTAAAAAATATTATATAAAACTTTACCTACCTCTTTTCGGTTTTTGTTTCTGTAAATTTAATAATTTTTACAATTTATCACTTAGTTATGTCAAATAAAATAATATATTTTTTAAATACCTTTTATTGGCAAATACACCAAGTGAACTAAGATGTTTATTTTATAAAATCAGTCCCATTACAATACATAACATTGCCCAGATACAAACTAGAATGAAGATATACAGGGTGTTTTAAAAAGGTATGTCATAAATTCTTCCATAGATAGATTACCAAAAAATAAGTGAATTTGGCTATATTTACCTCTATCAAAAAATGGCTCCCTACAAAGTTACAGGGCGTTAAGCTAACATTCATAGAAACGTTTTTTTTTTTTTTTTTTGTAAAAAATTTGCTGTTGCGATTTTTTCTTTGAAATTTGTGTCAGTGCTGTAAATTTGAAGGTCCAATATTTTAAGAGGACAAAATATATTAAAGCGACCCCTTAAAGAAGGGGGATTGGGTAGCTTTTTACTCCCTGTTTTTTTTTACATAAAGAAACTTGATTTATTGATCTTAAAATTAAAAAGAACTATAAATTTTGAATTTTTTTTATTGTGAAATGAACTTTATATCTCTCTTAGTTAACGAGCTATTTACAATTTTCTAACTGAATTTCCAGAACAATTCGTCCATCCTGGACTTAACATATCAACATGACGGAACTCAGTCATCGCTTAATTTTGATGGTTTTCCTATAAACCAGTACCGATGACATTGTATCCATTTACGCAGTTTTTACTTTTTTCCGTTTCTTGGCAA